TTTTTTTTTTTTTTTTGTATGTGGTGCTGAGGATGGAACCCAGGCCGCACGCATGCTACCGCTTGAGCCACATCCCCAGCCCCCCTCCCTTTTTTGAAACAAAAAGATGTAAAGATGCCCTATGCCTTAAATTAAAACAAAAACAAAGCTAAGTAGTCTCCGTATATTAGATTTAAGAATGTGATCTATCTATGTCTTAGACTGTTTTTAACCAAATGGTAGAGAGAAACTGCATATGGATAACAGTATAGCTAAAAAAAACATGGCTTGGAGTGAAGTCTTTTAAAATTGTTATGTATGTTTTACCAACTGTGATAAATTTGTATTTGTTTTCATTCTTGTTTAAAGTGATGATTTAGTGGAGAACAACTTCTGGAGTCTATTTACTTTGTCCCATACTGTTGAATGGATTCATTTATTTGTTTTATTGTTATTGAGATTAAGTATTTTGCTTTCATATGCCATCCCCCACCACCACCACCACCAAAAATGTAGATAACTTTTAGGAGAGATGAACTGTTGTTGTTGTTGTGTGTTACATCTGACATTTTTTWAAAAAGATTTTTGTATTTTAAAAGAGCACAGATTGTAAGTATACCTGGTATAACAGCTGAGGGAACTATGTCAAATGATGATAACCAAAGTTATTTGATAATTTTTAAAAAGTTTTCTGTATTATTTGGAAATGTAGGGTAAACAGTTTAGATTAAAAACTATCTGGGATTTGGAAAAAATTTGTCAGCAGTATCTTGAAATCATGACTGGAGTATAGATCTGATTCATAGTTTTAAAATGTTTTACATTATATCTGATATGTTTCTTAAAATTAGCTGGGCATTAGTAGTGCACGCCTATGATCCTACCAACTTGGAAAACTGAGGCAGGAGGATTGAAACTTTTAGGCTACTACCCTCAGCAACTTAGCAAGACCCTGTCTCAAAATAAAAAAATAAAAAGAGATAGGGCTGTAGCTCATTGGTAAAGTGACTCTGTGTTCAATCTCCAATATAAAAAAGGTTTCTTAAAATTGTACAAGTGTAATTCTGAATCTATGTTCACAGAAGGGAAATTCAGACAATACTGAATTCTAAAGTATATAAAGAATACAAATTAAAAGTTATTGTCCTATAAAATTCTATAAATCCTCTTCCTCTTCAGAGCTACCACTTTAGTGCTTAATTTCTCATACCTTTTTGAAACATGCATGAATCTTTATAACCACTTGTTTTACTTGTATGTGTATGTGTTTTACATAAATGGTTATCTGTTAATAGTATGTCATTATATTGTATATAGATTTCATGCTTTTTTACTGCTGTAATATTTTTAAAATGGTTCTTCTAATGATGGATGATTATTTTGTTTTTTTTGGTATTAAAAAAATCTTACAGTGAAAGCCCCTGAAATGTATCTTTGTGAACTAGTCAATAATGAGAGTTTCTCATTTGCTCATAGTTGTTTTGTAGTTTGGATGTTACTGTGTTGATTATTTGTGGAAGATATTTCTCTCAGAGCACTTTTCTTGGGGACTTCATGAATGTTTTAAATAATGATGTACTCAAGTCTGTTATGTTTGCCTTTGTCATCTGTGTTTTGTGGATTCTAATATTTCTAAACTATTTATATTCATTTCCACAGAAATATTTTCACTTCCTTTTTTGTTACTTGAAAAACACTTTTGTAGAATTCTATAATGTATAAGCATGCAATATATTGTGATGATGTATAATAATAACATAAGGATCAGTAACAATTTTTAATATTAATTTCAGAGTAATAAAATAAATGCAATTTATTCTGGAAAAACATTGGGKTTTTTTTGTGTTATTTGTGGAATAACTATAGTATTCCCTCATAATAAATTCATTTTTGTTGGGTAATATGGTAGGCACTGAATGATAACAATTGTACACTAGAAACATCCCTTTTTTCCCCAAAGTTTTAGACAGGATTGCTTCCCCAGTTATCAAAAATTTCCCTAACCTAACTATTTTTGCTACTAGTAATTGCTCTTCACTTAACTCTTGCTGCCATGCAATACCAGATTACACAACATATATACCTTTAAGCTCTTAGCAAAACAAGGTAAATTAACAAATGTCAGTTCTGATTGACTTAGTCAGAACTTCATAATTAAACATTCAAAAAAGTATTTTATTTCTCTGTGTGAGTATGTATGTTGATATTGTAATGTTGCATACTATACATGAAGGAGGAGTCAGAACACTAACTTTTTCAATATTTGGAGCCTCTACTTTGGCTTTGGTGGTCTTTTATTTCACCTTTCTGTATTGCTAAACACAACTTAGGCTCTTAAAATGTGGGCTGATTTTTGTTCTGCCACCAAAACCTCCTATGAAAGTGCCTTATAATTTTTGTGCTGCTTCCTTTAGGAGAAAGGACTGTCTCACAGACTGTCATTTTTAGCTTGCTTTTCTTCCCTACCCTCTCTCTACCTGATGGGTATTATTTGGAAAAATTACAATTGTTGGTGCCAAGAAGGGAAGATCCAAGGAATAAAGAAGTCCCTTATTTCAACATGAATTAATATCCCATTCCGAAGAATAATCAAGGAAATAGGTTGTTGTTTTTTGATGCTATTGTTGTTGGGTTTTTTTGTTTTATTAAAGGGACTAGAACTTTTATAGCTAAGCAAATTGGGACAAGTTGGCTAATAATTCAATTACATTATATCTTAACTAGTTTTCTAAATGCATTTGCTTTCCTAACCACCACATATACCTATTTATAACTTGAAATTAAAGTCACAAAAGCACAAAGCACTGTAKTGCTTGTAACACTCTTCCATATTATTGTAGGTAACTAAATGACCATGGAATCTGGAGCAGAGAACCAGCAGAGTGGAGATGCAGCTGTAACAGAAGCTGAAAATCAACAAATGACAGTTCAAGCCCAGCCACAGATTGCCACATTAGCCCAGGTATAAAATATGGAGAGATTCCAACCTGTGTCTCTTCCAAGAGGAATATGTTTCCAAGAGAATTTAGGTTCTATTGCAGAGATGTTGTTTGGATATCACATTTCCTGTTCACTTAATATTGGGCTATGTTTAGAAATAATAGTATTAATTCAGTAACATAACAGTAAAATGTATCATTAAACACTAATACAGTATTTGTAGTTATATGATCCAGAAATATTGACATTTTTAACTGATGTGTAAATTAATTGTCTCTTTCAAACAAGGGCAAGAACCTTGGTTATGACAGATGTTTTTTTTCCTATCATAGAACTTATCAACATGGAGGTAGAGATAGTATGAAAGCCTCTGCTTATATATGCTTAAATTAGAAAATAGGATAAGGCAAATAAATTGATATTTTAAAGATAATACTGAGTTCTTTGATTTTTGTCTTTGTCTTAAACATCCTGTCTTTGAGGGTGTATTCTCTTGTACTAATTTTTTGTTCTCATTTTTTTCCCTAAAATATTTTGTTAACAACTTTGTACCTGGACACACGTGAGAAAGGTGGTTAATATAAAAAGAAAATAGGAAATGGAAATCTGCTAGGCAAGAAATTGGTATTGCCTATTTAAGATGAAAGCTCCTAGGAAAAATAACCCTGGTAGAAGCTCTGGTATATCTAGCTGTAGTTTCCCAAGAGTTTAAAAGCTCTGAGGGAAGTTACTGAACAAGAATGAGTCTTAAAAAATTGAGGACTCATCACAATTGGGGTCGTGTGTCGTGGCTGGGGAAACTGGCTAAGCTAAAATGTGGGCCAGATCCTGGAGCTCCAGCAGGAATATAGTCAGGAGTTTTTCCTAAGATACCCAGGGCCCACTTCCAGCTCTCAAGATAAGATAAAGTGAATTACACTTGGAGATGGTGAATTTACCCAGACAAGGCAGGGCATAAACATTATAGGGTCAAGTTAAACAAGCACAGATGAGAATCTGAGCTCATCCAAGCATTCTGCCCTGCAGGCATCTTAGTGATTCAATTCTCAATATATCTATTTCTGGTCACAGTATTCTATCTGGTCTGGTTGTCTTCTGAGTMCTCTATATAGTGTCATCATGGGAATTCTTTTCACTCTACTGATTTTCTTTCTTGTAGGATTTGTGTTCTTGATACAGAAAAGTCTGTATAGTGGTATCTTGAGAAAGGATTCTTGGTAAAGATGAAAAAAAATTTTTTTTTTTTWAATTTTGAAAGCATTGATCCACAGTCAATTTATTTTAATGCTGTTCTTTAAAAAGACTAAACTTATCTTTCATCTCTGGTATCTTATAAAATCTCTTTGGTTATGGTACTTCAAAATTTCATTATCATGGGGATTGATAAGTTGGATCAGTTTTTATCCTGTATGTTCAATGAGACCTTTTGTAATGAAAACTCATGTCTTCTATTATGGGGCATTTCTTTAAATTATTTGTTGCTGATCCCCCTCCCCCCAATTCTTGCTAGGATTCTTATGATCCAAAGGTTATAGCTCTAGGAATGTTTTTCTCATTTTCTTTTATTTTCTCTCCTGTTTTCCCTCATTTTGTTCTGCTCTCTGGGATACTTCCTCAATATATTCCAACCATCTGTTGAATTTGTATTTCTACTATCATGTTTCCAAGAGTTTTGCTGAATAGTCCTTTAATGTTTTAATAGCATCCTGTGTTTCACAAACATAATATTTCTTCTTTATCTTGATAATACTTTTTGTTGTTGTTTCAGGTTTTTTTTCCCTACATAGACTTTCCATTATACAGTTCACCTCCCATTTGTTTTGGTCTCCATCTTTCATATTAGAGGCTTTCTCCAAATATTTGATAATGTGGTTATCTGCTCAGGTTTAAAATTGGGGGTTAGGGATGTAGCTTAGAGACAGAGCACACACTTAGCATGTATAAGGCTCTGGATGAAGTCCCCAGCACCAAATAAGTAAATGAAAGTAGGGGTCCAAGATGCTATATTAGAAGCTTTGTAGATGTGTTAGGGTCTTAATAGCTGTGAGCATTGAACTTTGCTATAGGGTAATCGTGGTTGCCCTAATGTCAGTATCTTTTTTTTTTTTTAAAGAAAGAGTGAGAGAGAGAGAATTTTTAATATTTATTTTTTAGTTCTCGGCGGACACAACATCTTTGTTGGTATGTGGTGCTGAGGATCGAACCCGGGCCGCACGCATGCCAGGCGAGCGCGCTACCGCTTGAGCCACATCCCCAGCCCTAATGTCAGTATCTTTAGATCTTCTTGGTATTAAGTTCCCCAGAGGATTCACTAGTCCCCTTACAGGGAAAAGGCCTAGAGCCAAGTGAGAAAAGAAGACTAAGGTTTAGTAGCCACCTACAGCAATGTTTGATTTAAGCAATCAAACCCTTTGTCCAAAGAATAAATCTCCATTTTTCTTTTAGAATATGGTAGATTATTCTTCTATAGGGAGTTGGGATTGGTCCCCAGTTGCTTCTCAAAGAACCTTCAACCAGCATTTCTTGTTTTCAGCCTCTTTTCACTCTTATCTTCCAGGATGCTATATATCCTGAGATTTGTGATTTTGTGCTGCCAGTCAGGCTTGCCCCATCTTAGCTCATGAGACAGTCTCAGATCCTAATTCATTACTGTTCTCTCCAGTCTCCAAAATAACAGGTTATTACTATTACTTATTTCCTTTCCTTTTGTCCTAAACTTTGTCTGTTTCTGTCTATAAAAATTAAGCCGTTGAAGCCATTAAAGAAGATTATTAATAGTATTTATTAATAATATTTAAAGATGGAACAGTTTCATAATAGTGTGTCACAATAATCAAATGTTCCTATATGCTTTAAAACACATCTAGAAAATTCACAACAAAATACTAATAATGATTAGCTCTGTGTGATAGGATTATAAAGGCTTTCAATTTTAGACATGTATGTGTATTTTATAAACTTAAAATGAGAGGAGCTATTGTGAAGAGTGATCAGGGTAGGAAAGGGATTATCTATTAAAGTCAGATTGTTATTTACCCTAGAAGACTTGGTAAAGAGAATATAATTGCTTCAAATATTAGAAGAGCTTTTTRTGGAATTAAGGTGAGGTACTCTGAATAATCTTAAGGTTGTGCCTCTCAGACTTTAGGGTTGAAGTATCTTTAAGTCCCTTCAGATTCTGACTTTACAAATGACACCCCATATGATTAATGCACGTAGTGCAGGGAACACATTTTGAGAACCAAATAAAACTAAGCCTTAAAGTGGCCAGAGAGAAAGTGATTAATATGGAAGGATTTCCTAATATTTTAAGATGGAACCTCCTGGTTTTAAGCTGTATGCCAAAGACTTTTCTTTGGTAGGGATCTTTCCCCAAAACTTTGGAATGAAATGTTTACCTGCATGCTAAACATCTTTGCATATTCAGATGTCAGTAATTCCATTATCTTCTACCATGACTTCTACTACCAGAAACCTTGTCCTTACTTCTTGCATTCTCTTTCTGTTGATAGCATAGTTTACCCATATTCTCATACATGAATCATGTGGGTCATCTTTGATTTTTCCCTCACCTATTCAGAAAGTCTTTGTTTTTCCTCCAGATCTTCACGAAATCTCTTTTCTCACTCCCATCCTTACCACTACTACTGCGCTGTGTTCTGCTTTCATATCTCACCTTAACTACTGCACTGACTTTCTCATTTTGTCTCTACACATCCACCACCCCCCATGTATAAATCAGTCATGCTGCCACTGGAAGTATCTAATACGAACTTCAAACCTCACTATCATACTAAAGAAGTTAAAAAGCTTTTCATTGCCTTCCCCAATACTCAGGATAAAATACAAGTTCTTTTTTTTTTTTTAACATTTATTTTTTAGTTGAASGTGGGCACAGTAGCTTTATTTTATTTTCATATGGTGCTGAGGATCGAACCCAGTGACTCACTCACGCATGCTAGGTGAGCGCTCTTCCTCTGAGCCACAACCCCAGCCCAAAATACAAGTTCTTTATGTGACATATACTAAGGCTTTTATGACTAGTTTATTTATTCCCTGCCTACCTCTGTTCCTGGATGTCTTCTGATTTCGTACATGATACAGTAACAGCTTATTTGCTGTAGTAGTACTGAATTGTTTATCCCTCTCTACCATGTATAAACTACATTGTTTCTCTTTGCTTTTGTCAGTACTACCCTCTCTGCATGAAATTTTGTGCCTTCTCCCCTGTAAATCATCATAAATACATGTTTAACTTGTATTCATTGTTTTAAATTCACATTCTTTGGTAGCCTCCCCTCTTAGGTTGGACTGAGTAGCTCTCCTCAGTATGTTCATTTTTCTTTTAACAAGCCTCATTACTCCATTGAGTTGCATTTACTAGKGTGTCTTCTCCACCCCATTCCTTCATAAATACATGTCAATAATTTTTTTACTGTCAGGGTCCCATATCTTTGTTTCATCTTTGTAGTTTCAATTTATACATTATTCCTGACAGTAGATCCCAGTAACTGTTTACCAAATGAGCAAATAAAATTCCTACCCTGAATGTGTTAAGAGTATAAGAACAATAAGTACCATCTGATACACATGACTTACAGTCCCTTTTAACTTGACTATTGACTCATTAAAATTGCATACTTTTGCTATAAGGGAAAAATTTCTTTTTTATATTCTTTCAGCTGTATCCTTTTATTCATTCAAAATGAAAACAAACTTCTAAAACATCATATATTGTCACTTTATAATCATTTTTAAGAAGAGGATTAGAAATTTTCAGTTATAGTGTCTATTAATACTTTCTCATTAATGAAAAGGTATGCTCAGGAATAGTTAAAAAAGAAAACTGAATTGCATACAGTAAGGTGTATATTCTTAGGTCAGTTTTGCTCAAGTTGGAGAACAGTTAAGATTTTAGAATGTGTCATTTAACATGATACTCGGAAGAATTTTATGTTCCTTCAAGGCCACTATATCTGTTGACCTTGGGGGAATCCATCTCTTTGAAGATTTGTTATTAAACAGCAGTAATGATCCCCAGTCTTCAGTTTCTTGGAAAAATGAAATGATAGTTGGATATGCRAGTAGGTGGGGAAACATGCCGTACAAATAAAGTGGTACTTGGTGTTTAGAAGAAGTCTGTTAGAATTTTTATATTACATTGAAATAACTTGTGTTTATTCGTCACTTAAGAGGAGTTGTAAGTGGAGGGCAGAGGGATATGTAGGGGTGTTGTGTTTTAAAAATATTAAATCTAATCACTGGTTTCTTTTACATCAATGAGTACTTGTGTTTCAAAAAGTTCATGTTTTTGGTTCTAAAAAGTTACTTCATATTGAACTTGAGTAATCCCAAGAAAGTRTCTGTAATGGTAATTTTTTTCCATGTTCAACACTGTAGGTTTCTATGCCAGCAGCTCACGCAACATCATCTGCTCCCACCGTAACTTTAGTACAGCTGCCCAATGGGCAAACAGTTCAAGTCCATGGAGTTATTCAGGCGGCCCAGCCATCAGTTATTCAGTCTCCACAAGTCCAGACAGTTCAGGTATGTGTATAAAAAGTTCTGCATATACTTTTATATATGTTGTTAATAGCCATTTCTGTCTCCTTTCATAAGTTATGAAAATAAGGACACATCTAGTTTAGAGTTTATTTTAGTTCACAGTAAAGGAATGTGCTGCATCTGAATAGTTACCTTATGTATAGGAACATATATACACAAGAAGAGACATAAAAAAATGACTCTTTCTTAAGCTTCAGAAAAAAAATAAAGAATTGATTGGGAAATAGTTAAATACATGAGATAAAGTGGAAATGTTTGGGAGAGACTGACACATCTAAGTTAAGGAAAATTAAGATATAAAARTTGTAATTTTGTAATTATTTTATAAACCCTCATTTGGGTGAAAAAAGAATCTTGATAAAAAATAAAATAATAATCTTACTTGATATTATTTGAACCAAGGGATTACATAAAATATTTTAATATTGGCTGTATATAGAACTTTCATTTATAGTATATAACTTTGAAATAATAATATATTTAGAAAGTACATTTTCAGGGCTGTTGATTATACTATGTGTTATCTATCCTATTCTTTGGAGAGTTTGTTCCTTTGGTTTGATCTCCAAAGGAACTTTAGACCTCTGAAGTGACTACTCTGTGTAACTGTAGGGAACCAAGAGCAGTATAGGATATTTGCAACTGAGCTTATTGAAAAAAAAAAAAAAAAAAAAAAAGACTTGAACATTCATTCAAGTAGGCCATAACCCCAGCCTCCCATTTCATATTTTTTGCTTCACAGTCTTCCTGTAAGGACTTAAAAAGACTTTTCTCCGGAACGCAGGTGAGTCCTAGGTCCTAGATTTGAAGAGAACTATTATTAGAAAGGAAGGTGAGAAATTACTGTTTATGTCTTTGTCCTTCTCTATAAACATGGAATTTCATGGTTTCAGTAATAGTCTTAGAGGTCTTCAGATCTAAGCTAAACTTGTTGACTACCTACCCCTTACTTTATTACTTGTATCCCCTATATAATATTTCCCTTCCAAATTGTAGTCCAGAATTACTTGAATACTTTCATAGAAAGGAAGCTGTATCTCTTGGCATAATCTATTTAGAATTAGGGGTGATTGCTAAAATGTTCTTTCCTGTGGTTAGCCAGAATATCTTTCTAAAATTTTCACCTGGTGGTCCCATTTCCGTCCTCGGAAACTAGATTAACAAGTAATTCCTTTTCTGTTGAACTGCTTTCTCTTCTCGATTTTCCTCACCCTTCCTATTTATAAGAAAAATTTCAGGGCTGGAGATGTGGCTCAGCGGTAGCGCGCTCGCCTGGCATGCGTGCGGCCCGGGTTCGATCCTCAGCACCACATACCAACAAAAATGTTGTGTCCGCCGAGAACTAAAAAAAATAAATAAATATTTAAAAAAAAGAAAAAAAAAGAAAAATTTCAGACTGGACAAAGTTTTGTTTTTCTTCAGGCTTTTTATTATATGGTATACCTTTGGTATTCCTCTTTACCATCCTGGTTGTTTTCTACTGAGTGAAAATTGTGTTTTCCTTGAGTATGATAGCCAGAACTGCTTAATATCTATAGAGTGGGGAGGTGTCCCCTCTCTCCTGGAACCATTCTGTTAATGTCATCAAAGGACATATGAGATTTTGTCAGCCATATTATACTGATCATTGAGCTACTGTTAGTTCCTCTACTTCATTCTGTCCTTGTGCTTTCAGTTTCCTTCAACTCTTTACTTAAGCAGTGGGGATAATGTTTCCATGTGAAATCAAGTTGGATGAATTTCCATAAGATACCAGGAATAGACTTTGTTAGTAAGTAGGAGATAGTATTTCCAAATAATTATAAAAGAATTTGATGTTTCTGTGGAATCACAATGACTGATTCCTTCGCCTTAGTTTGTAATTSATTGAATGCTACCTTAGCATTCTCTATACTCTTCTGTTACTAATTCTCCACCCTGTCTTCTTCTTGATGACAATGAAAAGAACTTGGCCTGCTAATCAGTCAGAACACCTAAATTCTAGATCCAGTGTGCATATTTATAAGTCAAATGACTTTGTTCATGTTAGCTTTTACTTTTTACTTTTTCAATTAAAGAAGAAAGTCTTGCTGTGAAAAAGATTACAATTTTTGGTTATAATATATGATTTAATTGATTATATTCTTAATTCTAATGTTGGCAACATAATTTAATTTTGAGGATTATGTAAACATTAATAGAAATATGTATTCATATTTTCAAGAACATATTTTACATTAAGGTGAATTTACAAAAGAAATGTTGAACTTCTTGAAACCTAGATTCTATAGAGATACAGTTATACACTTTTTTTTCTTTAAAGGGCCTCAATGGTCACTTCAGCTGGCTAACAGAAATAATTATTAATAAGTAGGCTCTAATGTCTGTCTTTCCTAGGTCATAATAAAGCTACATTTATTCTGCAAAAAAATTAAAATAACTAGGAAATAATTTACATCAGAAGAGTGATCAAACAAGAATAGAAATTGCCCCTCAAACTTCTATATGAGARAATATTGGAACATAGCAAAGTTTCCATATTATGCATGATATATACTTCTTTTGATGGGACGAATAAGATATTAAGACTTCTGTTTATATATTTTTGTTTAAAAATATTAGAAACTAAGCTATAATGATATTTCATACACAGCTTGACTTTTGGTACTCTAACGTTTATTCCTATGTACACGCATAAATTCCTTCACAGATTGTGTGAGAATGCTCACAGAAATACTGGGAGTTGCATTGTGTATGGGGGTTGACAGTGGCATTCTCATTTTACATTCATTACTTTTGGCCACATTTTACTATAGTGCAGTTTAAATGTGAGAGAGGATTCACAGATTATATTACTTACATCCATTTCGTCAACAAATATTTATTGATCACATCCTATGTGCCAGTCATTGTTCTATGTGCTATCAGACAACAGTGAACAAACAGTACATCTCTATTCTCATGAAGATCACATTTGAGTGAAGAGAGACAGACTATGAAAAAATAAAATATGTCAGGTGAGGATAAGTGCTGGAAAGATTAATAAAATGATAAAGGAATAGAGAAAGACATGAAGGGCAAGGATGTTTAATTTTATGGAAGACAGCAGTAAAGGTGGCTAAGCCGAGAAGATAACCAAAGCATATCCAAAGATTTGGAAATAAGAGTAGACTAGGATATCAAGGAATAGCAAGGTGTTGCTGGAATAGAGTAAGCAAGGAAGAGAGTAGAGATGAGAATTTTGATAGTCTTTTTAGTACTTTGTAATGTGGGGATAAAAGTAAAAGTTTGTGCAACATAGTCTATTATTATATAGCAAAGTATTTAAGAGTTGTTTAACTTCAGAATGGATTGCTTTTGGGTTTTTTGTTGTTTTTGTTGTGTTTTGTTTTTAACCTAAGATAATTTTTCCCAATTTTCTGATCTTTTCAATGATGGCAGGCAAGAACGTACAAGGGATATCTTACCTAAGATGTTTTTGAAAAAAAGAAGTCCATTCTAATTACCTTTCATGGGGGAAGTGCTATTTTAATCATGAATGTGATAATTTTTGAAAGAAACTTTTGCTGTGGAGATAGCATTTTGAAAATAGAAATTTGAAAATTTTTTTTCTCTTGCGAACCATGAAAGTTTGCCTTAAATCTATGTACTTTAAGACTTAAATAGCTGGGCRCAGTGGAACATGCCTATAGTCCCRGCAGCTGGGGGAAGAGGACTGAGTCAGGAGGCTTACAAGTTGAAAGTGCTAGTAATGCTGATAAGTGGTTAAGCGCTTCTGGGTTCAATCCCAATTTTTTTATTTTTAATATCCCCAAAGAATAGAAAAAGGAAAAAAAAAAGAATTTCCTCAACTGTTCAGAAAACTTCTAGTTTTAGCAGGTGTTGAACTTAATTTATTAAAAATATGAAATTATAACACTACCTTCCTGTTGACTTGAAGCATGCAATAATTGACTTAAAGCCAGGGAGTGAAAATACACTAGATAGATTTCATTAATAACTAGCAAAATTTGTAGAGAAAAATGGAAAAGCGTTTTATTTTGTAAGTACAGTCTCAAAGTGTACTTTTGAGACTTAACTTTTGTTATCTACATATTCAGTTGAGTTCCCCTTTTCAAAACTAGCAAACATTAAATCAACATTTAAATAACCTAAGCCCAGAATCATATTTCTGAATCACTTTTATAATCTTTTTAAAAGATTATATTATATATTATAAATATATTTATATAAATACTTTTATATACTTATATAAATATGTAGATACTTTTAAAATTTATATATTTATATAAACATAAATCAAAGTTGAGAAATATGAAGCTAAAGCTTTATGTCTATAAGTAGTGACTTGGTGTTTTGAAAATTTCTTGACTTTCAGAAGTAGCCARAATGAAAGACGTATCAAAGGAACTCAGGAAGAGATTAATAAGAGAGATGGCAAGAGGTGAGGGACAGAGGAAGTTATACTATCTTTAGAATGAGATTACCTGTGATACTTCTAGTTGGAATTATATGGTTGTTTTAAATCTGTGAAGTTTATATTGAACTATAATTAATAACTATAAAATGGATTTTTGATATGATTTTTATTCTCAAGTATGGGTTCAATATAATTTTTGTTTCTAAGGATTTAAGTTTTTTAGAGCAGTTTTAGGTTCACAATAACATTATGGAAAATAGAATACCCTCCCCACTGTATAGCCTTCCTCATGTTAACTTTCCCCACCAGATGGGTACATTTGTTAAAACTGAACCTACATTTACAACATTGCCCAAAGCCCATAGTTGACATTAGGCTGCACTCTTACCATTGGTACATTACATGGTGGTTTGATTTCATTTAGGGTAGGAAGTGTTACATTCATTATGTTATATTGAATGGTCACTATTTTGTTTATATTAAAGAGTTAGTCACTAAATTGTGGTAAGTTAATTCTGTCTATCTGAATTGACTTTTTTTTTTTTTAATCTTTTATCTTTGCAGTTCAGTAATCTAAATACTCCCTGTAAGGAAAGGAAAGCACCATTTTCATTTATTTGGGAATTTTGGTTTTTGCAGTATTGGATATTGAACCCAATATCCAATACCGGGTTTATCACTGAGCTACATTCCCAGCCCTTTTTTTTTATCTTAAGACGTCTTGCCAAATTAATGAGGCTGGCCTGAAACATCTGATCCTACTGCCTTAGGTTCCTTAGTTGCTGGGATTCCAGGTGTCTGCCATTCAGTGGGGAACATCGTTTTTTAGTGACAGAAACAAATGAAACTGCAAAAACAGAAGTTAGAATATTGTTTCTATACGTTGTTGGCATTAACTAAACTGTGAATGAAGTAGGGGATAAACAGATACTTCACAGCTTGAAGTTATCACGGAGAATTTGTGGCTATTAAAGAACATTTTGAATTCTGTTTCTATATATATATTAAAATTCTTGGATCTAGTATCTGTTTGTCCAAAGATAATGTAAATTTAGCAAAGATTTACAAAATGAATTATTAAAACAGACTACTACTGAAGGACTAAAGATAAATTATTTTAGATAATAGTTAATAAATATCCTGAAAAAATTGCTAAAATTGCTTTAATATGTTTTTATTTCTGTCTTTACCATGTAATTTAGATCAGAGAAGGGCAAAATTTCTACTAAGGGCCACAATTCACTTYGAGGGGGAGGGAATCAAAGGCCACATATAAAAAAGCAACATCATTTCAAAATTATTATGTGGGTGGTTTATATAGCTTGCTTTAATAAGTTTCAGCTTGGAAGAAAGTCCTCCTATGTTACTATATGTCCTTAAGATATGGTTTTATCTCTAGCAGTTAGAAAAATGCAAATCAAAACTACACTGAGACTTTATCTCACTCTAGTCAAAATGGCAATTATCAAAAACACAAGTAACAATAAATGTTGGCAAGGATGTGGGGGAAAAGGTACACTCATACATGCTGGTAGAGCTGCAAATTGGTGCAGCCACTACAGAAAGCAGTATGGAGATTCCTCAGAAAACTTGGAATGGAACCACCATTTGACCCAGTCATTCCACTCCTCAGTTTATACCCAAAGGACATAGCCACATCAATGTTTATAGCAGCTCAATTCACAATAGCCAAACTATGGAACCAACACAGTGTCTTTCAACAAATAAATGATAAAGAAAATGTGTATATATACCCAATGGACTATTTCTCAGCCATAAAGAAGAATGAAATTATGACATTTACTGGTACATGGATGAGCTGGAGACTATCCTTCTAAGCTAAATAAGTCAATCCCCCAAAACCAAAGGCTGAATGTTTTCTCTGATATGCAGATGCTAATTCATAATAAGGGATTGGGGCCGTGGTGGATTAGACAGAGGCGAATGAAGGGAGGGGAAAGGGATATTGGGGGTAGAAAGGATAGTAGAATGAATTGGATATTATTACCCTATGTGTATATATGATTACATGACCAGTGTAATTCTCCATCATGTACAACAAGAAGAATGAGAAGTTATACTCCATTTATGTATGATGTGTCAAAATGCATTCTCCTGTCATGTGTAACTAATTTGAACAAATAAAAATAATTTTTTTAAAAAGGTCATTATATAAGAATGGGCATATATAAGTAAAGCAGAGGGCAAAGAAAGAAAGCCACAGAGGAACTAAGTAGATTCTGAGTGCAGTATTAATAAAGGTAACAACTGTTTATCAGTACCGTCCACTTTGAGTTTAGTCTTGTTCCTTGAATTTCTGACTCTCTGCTAGGACCTGTTCACAGATCCRTTATCTATGAAAAAGTTTATGCAGATGCTGTGTTGAGTGGGCTAGTTACAGCAGCTACAACTAATAATTGGGAAATTTTCCTTCATGTTCCTTTGGCAGTACTTTGTAGTACTTTGTAGCATTATTACTCTGTTGAGAATTATAGATTGAATTCAGCCTTGCCCATCATTTCTGGATCCATTAATTGTTGCCTGCTGATTCTTAGGTCTTTCAAACTAGGCTTCACATACTTTTAAAGTTTGATGGACATATTACTTTACTATAGGTGTATTTTACAAAGCATTACTAGATTTAACTGATTTCTTTGTAAAGTGAATGTCTATTCTCTAGAACCCTTAGGCTCTGACWGCATACAGAATATCTTTGGAATTTCTCAAGTATCTTTGAAGTACTTAAGATTTTTCATATTGCCATGGTCATATATTTTGATGTGGACCTARCCCACACAGATCCCTTTGTCTTGGCTAAATCTAATTCTAATTCTGATAGCATCATGTGCACTTCTTTCGGAAAAGAATATGTGACCCCTACAGTTTAGCCTATAGAAGTCTGTAAATATGAATTTGACAGACAAGCACATTTAGGTGAGAGAACTTCTAGTTTAGAAACAGTCTAAAAATGCTACTGGGTTGTTACTCTGACAGTACTGGTTTCAGACTGAAATAGTCTGGAATGAGACTGGAAGGAACCACCAAGATTTTGATGCTGGTAAGGATGTCTAAAACAGAGATGCTAAGTATTAACAGGAGTTTTACTTCTTCATAGCTTTGTTACTTGGGTGAGTTACCTAACCTCTTTGTGCTTTAATTCTTTTATCTATAAAATGGATATAGTACTAGTAACTATCTGGTGCCTGATGTTACTATACTAAGTAATGTACTATATATGAATATATGCAAGTGCTTTAGTATAGCACCTGACACATAGTAAATTTTCAGTAAATTCTTTTTTCTATTATCCCATGTAAAATCTTTATTCACATATCTTCATTTATTTTCAGTCTAGGGATGCTTACCAGAAATGCATGATTCTTTACCTTGGATTTTAGCTTAAAAAATAATTGTAGAATGCCAACTTTTAAACATGTCTATATGAAACAGGATTTTTCCCTAACTTGCTAGAAACAACTGGGGAATGTGGTGAGGGATCATTAATTTTATTTGTACAATTTTAAGTAGTGCATAAGTGTTTGCATCAGAGTTAAAGGGGAAATGTTTGTATAGTCTCTATATAGACTTCTGAGCAAATATTTAGTCATTCCTTCCCTAATGTCAGAAACCTTGTTTAAGTTGGCAGTCTTRTCCTAACAGCTGACAAGAAAAAACTGACAAATAATACTGATGAGTTCAGGATTGATTACATGGAGTCTTGAAAGAAATTAAAAACAGATGTTTTCAGGACAAATATTTTAGTTTCTCTAAATTCAATTTAAATATTCTATAAGTTAAGTAAAGGGGAAGGGAGAGTGGTTGTTGCAGTTGTCTCCCATTAAAAACCTAACCATGTATAAGACTTAAATATATGTATTCTTTTGTATTCAACCTTAAAGTTAATGAAATTTTTTGGAAACTAAATTTGATTATCAAGATCAAGTTCTTCTTTATTTTCAGATTTCAACTATTGCAGAAAGCGAAGATTCACAAGAGTCAGTGGATAGTGTAACTGATTCTCAAAAACGAAGGGAGATTCTTTCAAGGAGACCTTCCTACAGGTATGAAATTTAATAATTAGAACTTGGAATCAAAGATGTACAGGAAGCCTTAGATAGTTGCAGGTAAAGATATTTCAGAAGATTGGTTTACTGATCAAGCCAGTATTATAGGTGATTTATCTTTATCTCAAGTTACTTCCCAAATAAGTTTATCATATRGAATAAGCTTGTCTTATAAAATAAATTGTTCTTAACTCTGAGCATTTCTGGATAAACACTACTTTTTTCTGGTTCTGTTTTTGTAGACTGCTGGGTGCTGCTTTTTTATTAAAAAAAAATACATTTGATAGTTACTGGATTTTCTAGTTACATGTCAGTTCTGAGGCTGTTATTTATCTACGTGGCTACATGTTTACAAGCCATTTTTATGCCATGGTACTTAGCAGATAACTATTTAATAGTTGTTTTAGGGTGATGCTTTGCTAACATTCTCTATTTTTAGAGGCACCATACTATACTTTTTGTTTTCAGCTATAGATGTTGCTTAGTCCATGCTTTATCTCCAAGGWAGACCAAAACCATTCGTCATATGTAGAAACATCTGCAGGAAGGACAATTCCAAAAATATTGATAAATTTACCTTAGAGTTTAATGAATTATAATTTAGAGTTTAATGACTTATAATTATCTTCCTTTTTATTAGTCTAACATTTCTATTTATGTATATGCCAGTTTTTTTGAAGAGGTGGTTGTCACTCCCTGCTCCCACTTGTTTAGCTACTAAGCCAACCCCTTTCTCTATCCCCACATTTGGATTAAGGATCCTAAGTAAATATAAATAAGTTGATTTTGAGGGCTTAACTTTTATGATACTAGATGTATGTTGTATGCTTTTATGCTAATAGTTTCTATTGTTTTTAAATATAACTAGTGTTAGATTTTCACTTCAAAGTATAACTCATGATAGTATATATAACACCTTCAATCCTGAAGCAGATCCAGCCAGGTATGCATATAGCTTCTCTATAAATTTTAGGCAAATATTAGCTATAGACCTTTTAACATGAGTTTTTTATTGAAAAATATCCTAATTTTTCTTAATTAGCTTGTAGCCTACATTGTAGTAAAGGTCATTTAAATAGTAACACCTTAATGATCAATTAAAAGGTGCTTTTAATTGATTAAAATTACATGTTGTATGGAATCTCAACTAAGTTTATTTATTGTATTTCCTTAAGTCTAGATTTTTCTAGTAGATCATTATGTAAACCTAGAGACGTAATAGTTATTTGACTTCTATCTGGGAAATCTACTTGGGAAGTCCAGAGAAAGAGTTATTAAAGATAATGACATCTTCACTTACAATCAAACTCCCCACTAGGGCACCTTTAGTTTAAGTTTATGAATTCCTGAAATCTAGCCTCTGTGTCTTGATTATAGTACGGTATCTACTAAAGTTCTTAATATATATGTGTAAGGCTGGAGAAATAGGAATTAATTGATAATAGAAGATGCATTTTTTTATTGGAGCAACTTTCTATCTTTATAGTGATAAATTTATATCCAGAGGAAGTACTTGAAAAGCACTCTTCTTGGTCTCATTTGGCTTGATATTTTTAGCAGCAATCTAGCTGAAAAACATAGAAGTTGTGCTTATCAAATTTTCAAGTGACAGAACCTTAACAGATAAGTACTCTCATGGATAGGAAAATAAATAAGCTGAAACAAACAGGATAAAATGGTAGTGATAACTGTAAATTGTCTGAAGTTGAGTATAAAATAAAAACAATTTTTAAATTTCTGTTCTAACCACCTTTCTGCCAATTATCTAATCTTTAACTACTATTTGTATTTAGACAGTAAATTTTACCTTTAATTAAGATAGTTCTCTATTTTTCTAGGAAAATTCTGAATGATTTATCTTCTGATGCACCAGGAGTGCCAAGGATTGAAGAAGAGAAGTCTGAAGAGGAGACTTCAGCCCCTGCCATCACCACTGTAACAGTGCCAACTCCGATTTATCAAACTAGCAGTGGACAGTATAGTGAGTAATAGATATTTCTGTTTTGTAAAGAGAAAAGTTAATGTTTTAKTCTCTTTAAAGGAATTATGTAATTTCCAATTTTTTTCTCATTCTTACTGCCACTTTATTTCCTCTATTGCTTAATATGCAGAGGTCTATATATAATAGGAGTATTTTCTTCAGAGTTTTATTTAGTATTACTCAATTATGTGAGCTATTTACACGTTCCTTTGTTTTATGCAGATGCATAATCTGAAGTTTTTTGAAGAACTAAATGAACCTCTATAGGTTTTAGTCCTCAGGCTGGGAATGTAGCTCAGTGATAAGTGTGCTTACCTAGAATGTATGGTTCCTGGATTCAATTTCCAGTACCAGCAGCAAAAAAAGATTTTAGTTTTCACGTAATATTCAAGAATAACATGAGTTTTTTCAGATAAAGGAAAAAAAAATTATACCTTGACTATGTTTAAGGCCAAAGATGCTCTTACTATTCATCTATTTTAATACTTTATCTTACCTTCCAAAAGTTGCATTTAAAAATATTCATATTTAATAATGTTTCAAGAGGGGATGGGGTTGACTTTGTTGTAGTCTGCTAGCACATTCAATTATTATTTTCATGTAAAAGGTAGTATAGCAAATTAAGATTATGTAAACACAAGGAAAATTAACTGGATACTTGGTTTTTTGGCTCACAGAAAGCAAAGGTTTCTATTACAAAATTATTCAAATTTTCATTTCATGATGTCTCTATCTGGCACTTAGAGGTCTCTTCTTATCTCTTACTTTTTCTTAACTTTCATCGGAAAGTACTTTCGAATTTTGCATTTTCAAATGCATTTGTGTGAATGGTACTCTTTTATTTACTCAATACCTTTGCCTTTTAGTGTGCCTAATGCTTGACACCTAGGTTACTTTTTGTTTTTTAATCCAATGTCAGTTTGCCTAACAGTAATTTGCATTCTGTCTTAAAAACAGATTTYTCAAGTAGCAAACTTTTTAGCTCTCTCAGAGCTAAAATTTTTGATAGTCAGACCAAGCTACTGGTTTACTATTAAAACTCAGTAAGCTTAGTTATTCTTTTTTTCCTTAAGTTTCTTGTTGACAGATGCAAAGAGGTACATATCTATACCTCCCTGTGTGTGTGTGTATKTTTTTTGGCTWWGTGTCCAGGTAAACATCTTTATTCAAGATGTGATTTTACAACATTAACACATGACTTTTATTTTTGCCTACTTTAGCATCCTGGGGTATAACGTTCCCTTTGGTAACAGATTCACTACTGGAGGACTTTCTAGTTCTCACTTGAACTAGAAAGTATGCTTTTTAGGAAACAGACATACCAGAAATCTGAAAGACGGAAGTGAAATTTAGAGAACTCCCATTATCCCCCTAAATGTCTAATTTTGCACACCCTTTTCCAGCTACCAAAAATAATTTCAAGAGATTAACATTTTGAGATTTTTAAAGCTTTATTTTTATTTCTTCTCTGTATGTGCACACACAGTTTTTGATAGAACTAGTTGATTTTTCATTAAGGAACAATATAACTAATACATTTACAACAACATTTATAATTCTTAGCTCAAAAAATGAACATGTCACAATTCAAGTGGTAAAGTGTTAGAGTGTTAATAAAACTTAAAATGTTCCTCTTCAATAGTAAGGTGAAATATCCCTTTGTTCCTTCTGTTTACATACACATGTTGTCTTATACATTTACATGTTGTATGGAATCTCAACTAAGTTTATTTATTGTATTTCCTTAAGTCTAGATTTTTCTAGTAGATCATTATGTAAACCTAGAGACATAACAGTTTTTTGACTTCTATCTTTTCAGTTGTGTTTTATTGAAACTCTCAAATCCTTTTGGAATAATCAAATGTATGAATCAATGTTATATAGGAAAATATGTTCAGTAGGACCAGACTTCAGTTTTGAAAGTACTTTGATATACATGACCTTATTTAATGCTTACAGCAATTATATTTTGTGGCTACAATTAGATGTGTTTATTTTACAGAAGAGATAAGAGAATCAAGTAATGATTTAGTAACAGAACTTGGACTATAGCCCAAATATTTTCTTTCTTTTTTTTTTTTTTTTTTTAGAGGAGAGGGAGAGAGAGAGAGAGAGAGAGAGAGAGAATTTTTAATATTTATTTATTTTTTTAGTTCTCGGCAGACACAACATCTTTGTTGGTATGTGGTGCTGAGGATTGAACCCAGGCCGCACGCATGCCAGGCGAGCGCGCTACCGCTTGAGCCACATCCCCAGCCCTAGCCCAAATATTTTCAAGTGTAGTATTTTTTTTTCCTTTTCCAAGTATAGTTTTTTTTTTTTCCTTCCTCCCACATTGAATTCATGGCTGTAACCAAAAAGAAAGTAATATGTTAAACAGAATAGAATTTGCATATTAACTCTGTATGTGAAATTGTAGATTAATTTTGTTAACCTTCTGATTCTCTCAAGTAATCTTACAGAATTAGATTAATTCTTATATATTCCAGTATTTCCCCTTGTCTGAGATTTACTAAAGTGGATGGATTATAAATGCCAATGTCTTAATGTTCACAAGTATTATTTTGCTAAACTAATCATTTGAGTAGTGAATAATCAGCTTTACATGTACTGATTGATGACTTAGTATATTATAGTTTCCCAGAGCTTACAGGCAGTTGATATCAAACTAATTCCCTTCTAATGGACAGTACTATATTTGAGTCGGATCTGTTGATCTCATATTTTTTACTTGTCTCTTAATTCAGTTAAAACCGTTATGTGATTTTATATGTAATACTGTGACTGTGATTTTTTTTTTTTTTTTACTCCTCTTCTTTCTGGAAAACCTGACCCTTAACAGGGAGATTGTGAATGAATTAAATTTCTTAATGTTAGTATCTGTGTCTTCTAAGAAAAAGAATAGCTTCTCTTTCTATTAACTTTTTCCATGTACTGTAGCATACAGGTGATTTCAGTTTTTATCAGGGATTGAAGCCAGGGGTATTGAACCACTGAGCTACATCCCCAGCCCTTTTTATTTTTGATTTTGAGACAGGGTCTCGGTAAGTTGCTTGGTGCCTTGCTAAGTTGATGAGGCTAGCCTTAAACTTGTGATCCTCCAGCCTCAGCCTCTGCCTCCTAAGTTGCTGGGATTACAGGTGTGCACCATCACACTRGTTGTTTTTGTTTCTAAATAATGATCTTGAGTTCTAATTTTAAGCTCCACAAGAGGTTTCTTGTGCTGAGTTCCATCTGTTTTTCAGTTGTTTCATTGAGTGGGCTTTTGTTTGTTTGAGATGGTTCTGTGTTGCCAAGGATGATCTTGAACTCTTAAGCTCAAGTGATCCTTCTGCCTGAGTTTTCCAAGTAGCTGGAACTACAGATGTGTGCACCACACCTGGATAATTGAGTAGACTTTTGATATATTTTATGAATTGCTAGAAGAGATAAATGGAATGCACTGATGAGCTGCTTTATTGATTACATTTTTTTTTAAAGAGAGAGAGAATTTTTTTTTTTAATATTTATTTTTTTAGTTTTCGGCGGACACAACATCTTTGTTTGTATGTGGTGCTGGCTGAGGATTGAACCCGGGCCGCACGCATGCCAGACGAGTACGCTACCGCTTGAGCCACATCCCCAGCCCTATTGATTACATTTTAAAATAACCATTTATTGGGTGCCTATTACAGGCTCACCATTGTGCTGAGAGCATAAAGACTAGATTTTTAAAGGTAGAGAAGAAAAATCACATTTCCTACCCTCAAGTAATTTATTTAGTTTTTGCCCAACAAATATTAAACAATATATTATATGGTAAACACTAAAATAAAGTAAAGTGTGGATCACAGGCAGGATATCCTTGTAACCAAATAATTCCAAAAGGAATTTGATATTTTCTCACTGTTTCTAAAAAATTATTAACAGCATTATATTATAAATTGTAATTCAGTTCATAGAGTAGTAGAAAGCTACTTGGGGATACCAAGATTCATTGTGATAATTTCTCCTAGATGATGCCTTACAAATTATTCTACATTGAATTTAGAGTGTCTTAAAGGTCTTACATGGTATTAATTAAACTTGTAACAATAAAATCCATTGGGTTTTAGTTGCCATTACCCAGGGAGGAGCAATACAGCTGGCTAACAATGGTACCGATGGGGTACAGGGTCTGCAAACATTAACCATGACCAATGCAGCTGCCACTCAGCCGGGTACTACCATTCTACAGTATGCACAGACCACTGATGGACAGCAGATCTTAGTGCCCAGCAACCAAGTTGTTGTTCAAGGTAAGGGAATTCAGAATTCACAGGTGTGGTAAATTCTTTAAAAGATTAAAATTTTATAAACTCAGAAAAAGTAAGTATCGTATTATAAAGCACAACTAAAATGTAGTCAATTTTTCTTTGATACAGATAATATTTTCCATGAACTCTTCCATTATCCCAAAATTGGACCAAAATGTCATGGCATAAAAACAACTATTTTTAGTATTTAAAAATATAGTGTCTATCTGTAACACCTTTACTGTTTGGGAACAGGAGAAACAGGGTAGGTTAGAACAAAAAAATGAAATCAGAAGTCAGGAAAGATGGATTTTTAGATGTAATTCTGAATGGATCTGCTTTGTGACTGAGCAGGATCCAATTATTCTGGGCCTTTTTGTTTGTTTTTCATTTATCAAATGAAATTGCGCTAAATCACATAAGAATTTTGGAGGTCCACAATTCTGTTTCTCTTGTTTTTATTCAAAAGAAACTTAGGTCTTCTTTTCTGAAATTATTATATTTTGTATAACAACATTATATTCCAAAAGGCCACACACGAGTATGCAAGTCCACCGGTCTTGGAAGGAAAAGTAGTAGTTAAACCCTTGAGGAATTATAAAGTAGATTTTTTTTCATTTTAATTTTTTTGTTACATTTATTTCAGAAATATATGGCTAGGAATTGACTATTTTTCGTTGAGTCTGTTTGAATATTTCAACAATATAATTTATGCCAGATTGGAAATTTGTAGATTGAGGAAATAATAATTTGTTTCTGAAAATATTTTCATTAATAATAATGCATTTTGCCTATGTTAGGTAGTGGCAGTTGTATCCCTTTGCCTTGGATAATTACCTTTGGATAATCCTAAAACACTAACTAGAGAATCATAATTTATTTAAAGGGCCCTAGTGTAATTACAGAATATATTCTGTTTTKAAACAAATAATATTTGAAAAAGATATTTTGCTTATTAATGGGAATAAAACACCTTTTCACTTTACATGCAGGTACTCAAAAAATGTAAAGCAGGATGTCAGTGAATTTGAATTCTGAACGTCAGTTTGAAGATGGTAACATGTTTAGTATATAAATCTTTTCCACTCAAACTACACATTTTAATTGATATTGATATYTAATATGAATAATTTTATATATAAAGACCTTCAAATTCTCTCAAATGTTAGGTTCCTTATTCTTAGGAGAGCATATTAAGCTGATATTAGAAGAAATTTGACAAACAGTGATTGTTTCTTTTCACAAATGGTGGATTGTTTAGTTAGGAAATTAAAACTTAAGAGTTTATCTAGCCATTATCATTTATATTAAAACAATGTTTACAAATAATATAATTGGCATAAATTAGTACACTTTTTCATACTTTCAGTTTTGTTTGAATTAGAAGTTTACAATAGTTGACCATAATGCTTTATTTTCTCTTCCATTTTGCTATTTTATGAAAAATCATGGTCGTTTTTATGTCGTGGCAAGAGTCTACTTGAAATTTTTTAATATGAATTTACCAATATCAAAGGAAGACATTGAGGACTATACTCTATCTAGGAAGATCATCCAAGCTGTGCCCTACTTCCCTTTTAGACTTAAGGTTGGTAAGCATGTTAACAGAATAGAACTACATTCCAATGAAAGATAAATATAAGACCCAGCAGACATAGGTTTAGATGTATTTCACCTGAGTGTCTATACTAATAAGTACATTAAACTGGGGTTTATTTCTCAGTAATGACCCAAAGAGTGCTGATTTTTTTTTTCAACATTTTAGCCCAGAATCATCTGTTCCTTATTGTTTCTTTTCTAATTCAAAAAATATGTTTAGACTGATGATTAACACACAGCTGAATCAAGTCACTTCACTTCTGTGCCTTACACCTTGCTCACCATTCTTTTCAGCTGCCTCAGGAGATGTACAAACATATCAGATTCGCACAGCACCTACTAGCACCATTGCCCCTGGAGTAGTTATGGCATCCTCCCCAGCACTTCCTACACAGCCTGCTGAAGAAGCAGCACGAAAGAGAGAGGTTCGTCTAATGAAGAACAGGTACATATAATCCATTTACTTAGATTGTTATGGGTTGAGTATGTCCACAAATTCTGCCAAATGTGTTTTACAACTGATAACAGGATCTTTGCCTTGAATTCCACCACCACTATCCCCCAGAATTGATGGATCTTACTAAAACTTCTTTATTTAATAAGTTGCATGTGAAATGACTAATGAGATTATGGGTCAGTCTTTAATAATAAAGTAGTTTTCTTTCATGCAGTTTCCTCACAGGAGATTTAATATGCAGCTTTGCTATGTTTGTATTTTGCTCCAACCAACTAGCTAGATTATTTACAAATTTTTTCATGAGTAGTATTGTTCATGTTCAAGAGCATCAGATATGTGTATTAACATTAAATGTTAAATTTTATTAAGTTTATGTATAATAAAGTAAATATATCAATGGCCAATATTTTCTTTACTCAAAATAGTAACTTAATACCTTTTTACTGACAGAAACCTTAAAATAGTTATAGTTCTTGAATGAGGAAAATTCTACTTACCAAAATCTGTGACATGTAGACAAAACCATTTTTAAATGGTTTTGACATCAAAATAAATGTACCCTATTTTTGTATTGGGGATTGAAAGCAGGGGCGTTCTGCCTCTAAGCTACATCCCCAGTCTGATATTTATTTATTTGTTTGTTTATTTAGAAACAGGGTATCCCTAAGGTGCCCAGGCTGGCTGGCTGGCTTATTCATTCATTCATTCATTCATTTAGAGGCAGGGTCTCCCTAAGGTGCCCAGGCTGGGTGTTCACCCTTGCAATTCTGCCTCACCCTCCCTGTTTGTTGAGATTATAGGCTTGTTCCCACATGCCTCATAGAGTTTTAAGATTTTAATATGAAAATGGCTAAGACAAACAGAAATAAATGAAAATAAAGATGTATGAAGTTATAAAATGTTTTAAATTGGTGACAATATTCTACTTTTTACCCCAGGATTATTCAAATTCATGATAAAGTCAAAGAAACAGATTGAATTTGGAAGATAAAGCTTGGTGTCTTGCTCCACCCTTGCTGTGACTTTCAGAGAACCTATTAATCTTCTGAACCTCAGTTTTCTCCTTTGTAAAATAGGATTCCACARTCTACTTAAAGTGTTGTTCTAAGGGTCAAGTTAGATTATTTCTCTGAAAGTACTTTGTAACCACAGTGGTCTGAAACATAAATGTTTTTTTTTTTCCTTGAGCAATTTCATATTTCAGCAGATCAGTCTCTTTCTTTCTAAAATATTTTTAGCTGTCACTGTATTAATAAATTATTATCTAAGCTATGAGCAATGGCAGAAATATTCTGGGATTAGGGGAAAAGTTGCAAAGGAGTGGAGTGACTTTATTTGTTCTCTATCAACCAGTGACTTTCTTTTTAAGTATTTTTAAGTTATAATTTTAAACAAAAGTATAAAAGCTGCATTCTTATTTAAATGTATTTTAAAATATAAATTAAACTATGCATTATTTAAATATTCTCAGTTTTAAAGTACTCATAAGGATGCTTAACCCTTTTTAAAATTAGAAACAATTCTCTTTTAAGAAGTCTCCAGCAAAAGCWTGGTTATAAAATTTAAAAAACAGCACTTACTAAAGAAAATAGTTTAAAGCATACATAGCAGATCGATCAAAAAATAAGTCCTTTTGATTACTAAAAACAGCAGAAGAGGGGACAGGGTTGTGGCTCAGTGGGCAGAGCCCTTGCCTAGCATTCATGAGGCATTGAGTTTGATCCCCGGCACCACATGAAAATAAAGGTATTGTGTCCATCTACAACTAAAAAAAAAAAAAAATTAAAAAAAAAAAAAGGCAGAGAACTTTCAGATTATATCTAAGTAGTTTGCCTCTGTGGGACAAAAAATGTTTCCCTCTAGTGGGTGTGGTGGCTTATACCTGTAATCCAAGCAGCTCGGGAGACTGGAAAAGGAGGATTGTGAGTTCAAAGCCAGCCTCAGCAAAAGCAAGGCGCTAAGCAACTCAGTGAGACCCTATCTCTAAATAAAATACAAAATAGGGCTGGGGATGTGACTCAGTGGTTGAGTGCCCCTGAGTTCAATCCCTGGTACCAAAATAATAATAATAATAATAATAATAATAATAATAATAATAATAATAATAATAATGATGTTGTTGTTGTTTCCCTCTTATTCAGAAAAGACTACAGAGGCAGTATAATTGTAGTCATGATTTGGACTTATTTTTATCCTTTCCAACAGTTGAATAAACTCTAGTGTCCTTTTGAAGGAACAAAATAGGAAAAAATTTTTTTATAGTATGTAAGAAGGCAGCAGTATTGGTTCTTATCTACTGTTACATAGAGGCCAACTTAGAGCACTGTCCATTTGTGAAAACTTGTTCTTTTAGCAGATCAAATTTCTATTTTTTCCTTCAGATTTGTAGCCCTCTCTACGATCCCCATCCTACCTCTACAACACATTCCAAGTTATGGAGAGGGCTTCAGTTCTTTACAAGCTTTTTTAAAATGAGATCTATAGGGAAACCACCTGATATGTACTCTGGTAAAATACTTTTGTTTGAATTTAGATATAGTGCTTTAGTTTCCTTTTTCCTTCATTATCAGATGACTGCTTTTTGAGCTTTCAGTCAAATCTGGCTATTGTAACCATCATACCATGCAAACTCACATACCAGGTACATACCCACATTCCAAAACACACACTTGGCAGATCCAGTAGTCTCTTTTTTGTTTGATTTCACCTCTGTGAAGTATGTACCACTTTTGACTGCTCATTCACCCAAAATACTTCTTTGGTTTATTCACCACCTGGTTTTCTGACTACTTTTCAAATTTCCCCTTGGAACTTTCATCCATAGTCATGTATTTCAGGTACCAATATATGCAGGTATCAATAATTCTATAATTCTGATATTGACCTTTCCTCTGAGGTACTGTTTATTAAGTTCTATATTATGTATGGGCAGTTCTAGATTCTTTATATACATTATTAATTCTTCTACAGTGAGGTGGAATTTTATTCCCACAGATACCAGAGAGAAGTTAAATGTTGCCAAACATCACAGTTTTTAAGAAACTGGTAGAATTGAGATTTGATCATGTGTCTGCTGCCAAAGCCTGTTAACATGCTACTTCACTGCTATGATGCTCTTACTAGAGCACACGGCAGTGGGGTGGATATGTAACAAGGAAGTGAAACATGGAATGCTTTCTTAGGTATTAATTTTGCTCACAGATTAGAGACAAGTAAAAATTATTTTTAAGGTAATAATAAAAGATTCACACTACAGCAGTTGCTTTGGGTTGTGACCCCAGAATCCCCATAAATTTCCTTGCTTAAAGTGAGTACTCTTGACATATTCACCAGAAATAATATCTCCTATATACATCAAACATAACCTGTATTAAACTAAGCTTGGACAGGAAAAGTTTGGACTCAGAAATTCTACAGTCTCCAAATAGCCATTTATTCCAAAATGAAAATAAGTGGTAAGCATTGTGAAAGAGGAAATATAAATGGTTGTTGTATTTATTTGTGTTGCTACAGTAACAATCACAAAATCTCAGTATCTTAGAACACACATTTCTTCCTCATTTATATAAGTTACATTTTGTCAGCTGCAAGTCACTTGCCCATGGCTCTTCTTCACATGCTGTCTATTTCGTGAATCCCAGCCCCAAGGAGCAGCAGCACCTCTGAGAGGAGCCTTTGACAACAGGAAAAAGGGAATGCTTTTTAAAGCGTCTGCTTGACTATGGTGAACAACATGTCTACTTGTGTTCCATTGGACACAGCACAGACAAGGACAAGCCCAACGTCAGCAGACTGGATGGGAGCTCTTTCCATAGGAAGCAAGGAGGGGAAAATTACAAAAGTAATATAATTTACCACCTTTGCTTTTATATAACATTAGTGTGCACAGGGGGTTTTAATAGCAGACTTTTAAGGCCAAAAATAATAAAGAAAAGGTTAAATAGATTTATATAAAATAACAAAACAAACTGAAAATATTTTAACAGTGTCAGAAGACTAATGAAGATGTGAAGGCAGATTCACAAATGATAGGGTAAACGTATATTTGATATGAATTAAGGTACTTTCATTCAACTACATACAGCTGTTCATTAAGAAAGAAAATAGATGTATTTTTTTACTGAGATAGGAAGAATGTTCTTCATGGACAGAAGCAGATTACTAAAGAGTATATATGTTGTCATTTTTTAAAATGTATTACACAGGTAAAACATGCTCATTATAAGTAAGTTAGAAAAGTATAAACTAAAAATATCAACTCTAATTGAACCATCCAAATTATTATATAGAGTATATTTTTCCTCGATACAAATAAAAACATATATTCATTTTTAAAATATTATTTTTTTAGTTGTAGTTGGACACAGTGCCTTTATTTTTACTTATTTTCATATAGTRCTAAGGATTGAACCCAGTGCCACTCAGTGTGCTAGGCAAGCACTCTACCACTGAGCTACCACCCCAGCACTATATATACATTTTTAATAGRTCAGTTTTAACCTTTTATTTTCAAATAGCTTTAGACTTAGACGTTGTAAAGATGTTTCCGATACCTTTTATTCAGCTTCCTGTATTCCTAGTATATTATATAAGCAGAATAACAGTTATCAAAACTAAGAAATACATTGGTATAAAACTATTAAGTGAATTATACATTTTATTCAGACTCAKGCATTTTTTAATACCTATATTCCTTTCCTTTTGTAGAATCCAATCCAGATACCACATTGCATTTAATTGTTTCTGTTTCCTTGTGTTTCATAGCTTTTTGTATCTGACACTTTTGAAGAGTAGGGATCTGACTTCTTATAGAATATCCCTCATTTGGGGTTTGTTAGATAGAGGTCATCAATTTTGGGGAAAAAATCCTGCAGTGATTTATTGTGCCCCTCTTGCTACATCATATCAGGAAACATATACCAGTAGACTTATTACTGGTAATATTAACTTTTTTTTTTTTTAAAGGCTTTTTTTTTTTTTTTTTTTTA